CATGGTATCTCTGCCCATATAGTGTCATTAATCACGGTAGTACTTTCTGTTTAAGAGCCTCCACTTTCCTTAAGCATAGTAATTTACAGCTTACTAATTGGGAGTACTTACTTTGAAGCAATGAGCAAATTATTTTGGAGCACTGTTCCATATGTTTTAAACCTTTATTCTTTTTAAGTGTGCTGGAGGAAGACCAGAGAATTCCACTGACCAGACAGATTTCTGTTCCTTACCTCTGTGTGTCTTCTTTCTTTGCTGAAAATAGAAAATGAAAAGGATTGGCCATCACGGTGACATTAGATAATACCTGTAAAGTGGAGAGTTACAAAAAAAAAAAGAGAGAGAGAGAGAGGAAAACGAAATAGAACAAGGGCTTACTGGGCATTTTATATTAAGATAAATATGAAATTTAGGAAATTTATCTCTTATAAGAAGCCATGGGTTCAGGACTCTCCTTGAACTCCAGATAGCAGAGTTTGTTAATACTCTATTCCTGTTTTTGATTTGGTTTTAAACAAGTACACTCTGTTCCTTACTGCTGATCTTCGGTGCTTCCTTATGGTCGAATGGTATTAAAAACCCAGATTTCTGTGAAAGCTAGCTCACGCTGCAGTTTTTTAAGCACCGTCCTAAGAGGTCTCTTTGTTTCCACCTGTCCTCCCCACCTATCTATCTAATCACAGCGTCTCTGAGAACCCTGGACAGCTCCTCACAACTTCCTGGATCAGGTCCTGGTTTTCAGCTCAGCATTCAAGACCCTTGTTGTCTGGCCGAAACCTACCTTTCCAATCTTAGTTTTAGTTTCTTAGCTCTCTGGTCATTCTGAGCTACTCACCATCTTCAGATACTGATTTGGACATGCTTTTTCCAACCTTTTAATCACATTTTTCTAGAATGCCCTTCTTCCATGAAACCGTGTTCTTTCCTTCACGTGCTTCCCCTTGGATTATTGTCCTGAGATATCTTCTCCTTTCTCCGAACTCCTGAATTATCACTATTTCACTTGCAGTGTTAGTCCCTTATCATGTCGATTCATATTCATGTTCAAGGTTTGGGAGGTCTGGGTTGTGTCTCCCGCTGTACCTCTCCCCCCACTTTCTCCCCCTCTTTTGTCTCTGGGGCTGTTTGGTACCCAGTAAGCATATTGGCTGATACTATCTTGAATCATATCCATGAAGCTGGTTCTTCATCTGTTATTAGTCTCTCGGGAAGGTCCCTGGGAGTCAAATGTCTGCTCTCCTGTGTGTTATTCAACTCTCAGCTCCCCAGTGGATTGATAATTAGAGATTTTTATATGGAGTTCAGAACCTTAGCTCCTGCTTATGGAAAGTAAGCCTTTAATTCTGTGATACTTAGCAGGTTTTCAAGATATACTTAGACCTTTCCTAGTTGCTATGGGGATTCATAAAGTCATCAAAGTGTAGAAGCTGAGGAGAGGGTAGAGAGCGCTCTAGATATAGAAGGTGCTAAGTCAGGAGGCTTGAGGGACACCGGGCTTGAGCTGCTTTGGTTCTGTGTTCTGTGGTTCCTGCCTGCTTACTCTTCTGCCCACCTCTGCTGGTTCATGTAGGCCTTCCTCACGTGTCTAGACATTTCCCTCACCTAAGTTTTAAAAAGATGTTTTTGTGACTGGAGCCTGCCTGGGAGCGACCATGGTTTCAACTCTCTCTCTCTCTGGGCCTTGGGACTCAGCCACGTTTTGGATTGCATCCCTGGCCTTTGGCTGCTCTCTTTGGCTTAGAGGAACTCATCTCTAATATAAATCAGCTCCTCTTTTCTCTTCCTTTTGTGTTGAGATGTAAGTGTTGTTTATAGCATCGTCCGTCTTTTATTTTTATGTTTCAGCGAAAGAAATACTTGTCTTCTCTCTCATCTCCCTCTTTGCCAATATAATCCTGAAAATTGAGTGTTCCTTTAAGCTTCTTGATTGCATCTTTAATCTGCACAAACACCTCTACTATCCTTCACATGGTATAATCATTTCCTTCTGCCTGTCACCTCCACTTCCAGAAAAATGTGGTACTTTTGTTGAGGTTATTTGCATCTGTGTCAGTCTCTCCAGAGAATGTGCACCTCCTGAAGGCAGTTGCTGTGTGTGATTGCTCTCTGCATCCTTGGTGCTCAGCACAAGAGCTCATAAATAGTGAAAAATCGATAGAACTTGGCTGAACTCATAGTTCCAAATCTGTAAAGTTCTGTGTATCTGGACTCTTCCAGATAATTGGGGTTTTACACCTTGCTTTCCTACATCAAGATAATTGTGCACATTCTGGGGAATCATATGGGCATGGCCATCTCTCTGAGAGTGAAACCAGATACCAGGCCTTCATTATTACCGAAAAGCTCGGCTCTGTTAGGCTCATTCATAATGTAGCCAGGATAAGGTGTGGGGTGACTACTCTTCATTAAAAGAATTCTTGGAGCAGATCTAAAAACTTAAGCTCTCTATCCTGGACTAAGAAACTTTGCTCTACTCTTGGTCATGTGGTACTTATTTATCATCCTGTAGCAAATCCCATCGACAGTGTGCAGTTCCAGATGTGGCATCCTCACTTGGGAAACAGGGCATGTATCTTTTGAGATTATCTAAGTGGTACCTTGTTGGCTCAGATGTGCCAGTGTCTGTACTGTACTGTCTAAGGCTGATTGACAGGCCTCAGATTCTTATGTGTTTAAAGAATCAGTTTTCTATATTTGGACTCAGTATTTTGAGTGATAAGAAATATGTCAAATGAGCTGAGAATTACTTAAATGGAAATCAAACTTCTGATAAATGATGCCAAGGAAAGTCGTATTTCCAATTTTCTGCCTCTTTTTCTGAAATAATCTCCAGTGTGTGGATTAAGTGGTTTATAGGTAGCTTGATAACTTTGGTAGCATCTATGTACGAAGGCGGCTAAGAAGCATGTTCAGCTTTAAGGATGCTCCTCTCATTGAAAATAGCGAAAGCGTCATGCTTACAGAATGTTGTCATATCTGGCCTTTAAGTCGTAACTACATTTGGGCAACTATCTCTGATATAACTAAAATTAAAAAATTCCCCGAGGTGGCTGCAGCGTTAACATATTTTACAAATAAGATATCAAATAACTCAACTGAAAAATACAATAAAATATGTCTTCACTGAATGAAATTACCTTGGTGCTCTACATACCTCAATGTCAAGGTTGAAGTGTCGGTAACTTTTTGGAACTTGACTCTGAACTGGGTAGTAGGCTGGGGCCTGACTCCCAGAGAGCCTGTGGACTCATTCTGTAGAAGGGGAGCCTGATGCTGGAGCTTCTTTCTTTGGGGGTCAGGGGCTTGTCACAAAGTAAGAAGAGTCAAAGGACTAGGACCACCGTGGAGACTCGGAGGCAGAGTGCTTAGCTTTGCAAGCGGAAGAAAGCAAAAGTTGAGGTGAATCTTGACGGATGAATGAGCATTTTTCGATTGTTGGAATGAGTCTGGGTCGGGTGATGCAAGCTTCCTGGGGAGCAGAGAATCAGAAAGGGCAAGGAATGTTGATCATAGACTTTTTATCTACATATCCCTTTTGGTTTTCCTCCAGTTGCTTGAGAATAAGGGAATGGAGAGGAAAGAATGGATAGCGAGGTACAGTGAGAGGGACGTGAGCAGCAGGCCTGGCAGAAAAACTGAAGGAAAAAGAAAAGGAGTGTTTTCATGAGTGTCTTCATGGTGACTGACTTTGGAGTTCCGAGTGTTTAGGGAAGCAGTTCAAACCAGAACAGTGATGGGAATCAGATGTCATGGAACAGAAAGTAGGGATTTTATATACGGG